TCACGAACAGAACGTGCAACAACGAGCGAGGCCTCCACACGCATTTTTGTTCTTGCACAGATCGCAAGGTCTTAACGAGGATGATTTTAGACACATGGTTAAGATACAAAAAAAAAAAAAAAAAAAAAAAAAAAAAAAAGGAGGGAGGGGGAGGCACACTTGATTCAAATATTATCTCACTAAAGCTTGGAAGTGTAGATGGAATAGAAAGCAAATACCGTCAACACATGAATAAAGCTGGATCACACGTTTGTTTATGGGTACTTGTGTTTGTTTGTATATTGTTTGTTTAGGGGGAAAAAAGAATGTCAAACCAAATGACACCGCGCCATCGTTTATCATCTGTCGAACTTCAGAGAATCAGCACAATTAGACGTACGCTGCTGGGCTACACCCGCCCTTTGTCACCGTCCGATATTGCCCTGAAGGATCAGGGGACCGTTGCTCACTATAGGAGTAAACTGACCACCGCGTTCTTATCGGGAAGTATTGAGCCGGAGTTTTCTGACCGTTAGGATTGTTCACCATTTCCGTAGTGCGAGCTCGACCCGATGACTGCTGGTTTGGTATGCACGCGGATGCCGCTCGGCAGAACAGCTGGAGCCACTAACCCAGGTTGTTATATCAGAACCAATATACCCTACGCCATTTGAGAGACCGCCAGACAAATTGTCGGTGTATACATCGGCAATACGAGCTACAAGCAACTAGTTGTCCGTGAAGCATGCGATAAGGTCGGCAAGCTGACCGCAGTTGAGGCAAACCGTCCGGTGTTCGGTGCGATGTAGTCGAGGTACGCATGAGTGGGATGTGGGTACCTCTGCTAGTGTTCTGGAAAAGACCTATAATCCGACCCAATTTCACTATACAGGTACGAAATAAAAAGTAATCGACTAATAAAAATGCAAATTCTAAAGTATGAACGGAATATTCCCGACCAAACCATAGCAGCAAAATATCTCTGAAGACTAGCAAAAACACAACGACAGCAGACATCTATACCAAATGACCAACAAAACCACAACGATAGCAAAATATTGCTGAATGACTAATGAGGAGCAAGCTACAATAAATACCTACGACAGTGAAATTCTTATAAATACTTACAGAGTGATTTCGGCATTTGTCATTGCTGCAAGGTATATAGGATGCATTTTCATATTAGTGGTGGGAAACTCTGATTGCAGCATATCTATAGGTGGTGTTGGGTTCAGCAGAGTAATTTCATTATAGCAGGGTCTATATATTGAGTTTCCAGCAGAGGAGGGGAATCTCGCGGTAGGGTGGGTGACGACCTGTTGAGATTCCCCTGCCAAGATTTCAACAAGGGATACAAACTAATTAATTAGATGAGGAAAATATAGCCTTATACAATTAGTGACTGTATTATTATTATTCCCAAACAAAAAAAGAATCGGAAGAGTATCCGTAAATGGGAGCAAGGACCTTTTCTGGAAATCGAGCCCTTGTCCTACAGTCAAAACTCATATGGTATCACACATGCCCCCAAGCCTCGTGCCTGATCAGCAACTAAAATCAACATTTGACCCTCTACTCCCAAACGTCGCTGCACGCCTTCCTTTACCCGCCAACAAACCTTTCCCTTGTACTTTGACATGTCCATCCCGCTCCCGCTTGGCTGGGAAGCCAAACAAGCTCCTGATGGCCGCTGGTACTTTATCGACCACCAACGGCAGACAACCACTTGGGAGGACCCTCGTCAGAAGATACCCAATGTCGTATCTCCCAGTTCCGCGGAGCCTAAAGTAACAACATACGATTTCGAACGGCCCATGTTCTTTTCGCATAATACGCCCAGACCAACAGTCGTATCCTATACTACGCCTACCATCGCGACGCCCCCCTTCACGCCCCCCTTCACGTCCCCCGCCGCGTCCCCCGTCACGTCCCCCATCAGGCCCATTCTCGCGCAGCCCTATACTACGCCTGTCAACACTTACCCTACCCACATGCCTAATTTCGGGCCGCTGCCACCAGGCTGGGACATGAGGACCGACACCAACGGAAGGCCTTATTTCCTCAATCATAAAACCGAAACTTCGACTTGGGAAGACCCTCGCCTAAAGGCCACTCCGCCTCAAGGTGTGCCAACCACGGCGGGTTTGGACGCATTGCCGCCAGGCTGGGAGAAGAGAATAAATGTCGATGGGCGTCCCTACTTTGTCAATCACATCACCAAGCTCACATCCTGGCAAGACCCTCGCTTGAACTCTCCACCGATTCCAGATACACCGACCTCGCCTTTACCAGCTCGGCGTGCACAGACTGCGCCTATACCGCCTACACCTTTACCATCTGTACTGACCCCACCTTTACCGGTTCAGCGTACACAGACCACACCATTACCACATAAGCCTATACCGACCCTTCCTGCGCGAACTCAATCTGACCCAGTACTTAACAAAGGCGTTAAGTCCGACCCCCTGCCACCGGGATGGGAAGAGGCCAAAACTCCTAAAGGTGTAATCTATTTTATCGACCACAGTACCCAGACAACAACCTGGGATGATCCTCGGTTGACGTCCAGGCCTCCACCGAGTTCCAGCAAAGGCGGTGCAAGCAAACCGCTACCAGCAGGGTGGGAAGAGAAGCAGACGGAGAATGGCGTGACGTATTTCATCGATCACAACACCCAGACAACGACCTGGGAAGATCCTCGGTTGCATTACAAAAGGGTACCGAGCACACCAGTACGAAGTACATCCGTAAGGGAACCGGAGTCTCTTCCGGAACAGATTGGTAATAATTGAGTTATCGCAGGCGTGTCGGATGGGTTATGATCCGAAATAATTTTCCTTACATTCATCCATACCCTTTTACCCAGAGTACTACGCCCTTCCATTGCGAAACAAAAATGGTCACATCAGATACTACATCAGCACGACCCCGAACCTTGCACTAACAGAGGATACCGAGACCAGCCTCACCATCTATACAATCACACTCAACAAACCGTACCAAAAGACGACCCAAAATATCACCTATCAACAGAACTCCTCCACCACCATCTCCGTCATTGGCAACAACATTTCCACCACGAACACGTTCGGCAACCAAAGTATCACGACCATTCTTCGTCCCGCCGTGAAACGGCGGCCAGGCGGTGCCGCCGCCTCTGTCGTCGAAAAAGTGCAAATAGCACGACTCCGGGTGGGGACAAACAATATCCTCTGCTGCCGGTGCCGGATTCCGAAGCGAGACGAATGCCCTTGCATCCATTGCAAGCGGCACCCGTCGGACGGACACACTGGCTACGTAGAATACCACCGGGCCGGGGACGGTGATGGCCCGCACTCTCATGGAGAGTACTGCCATTCGGACGAATTGCGCCACGCAATCCGGCCAGATTTCTTTCACCTGCGTCAAACGTTCGACAGCGAGCTCGTACTGGGGCTGCTGGCCGTCTGGGCCGAGGGCACATCGCTGACGGACAGAATATGGCGCACGTTCCTCGACTCGTGGACACATGCCAAATACGAATTCGGTACCGTGTACCACCGCTCGCAGTACGGGCTGTCATTCTTCCAACCAAACCTGAGTCTGCTGCAGAGATTCGAGAACTACGTGCTCGACTGTTACCAGCGCGACAAACATGTGAACATTGTGCCGCTTTGGCATGGGACGACGAATGTGTGCACGGGCGGTACATGCATGGATTTCGGGACGTGCGCGAACTGCAATATTATGACACAGGGGTTCAGCAACGAGAAGGCTGGGAGACGTTCGTGGGAAAGGTTCGTTTATATCTAGTCCATGCTCGACATATGACTAACGGAAAAATTAATCTTCACAAATGCACCCTGCACTATGTGCCATCCACAGGTACGGCCCAGGCATTTACTTCGCATCCAACTCGTCCAAGGCGCACACATACGTCAACGTGGACGAGGACCGCAGGCCGCAGCCGAACAGCAACGGCAAGTACACGATCATCATGAGCCTAGTGGTGCTTGGGCGTTTGTACGAGACACACGAGAACGACATGTCATACTTGGTCGGCCCGCCGGACGGGTACAACTCCCTGCGCGGCATGGTCAAGCCTGAGGCCGAACGGTTGAGCAACAAGGATCTAAGATACGAGGAGTACGTGGTTTACAGCTCGGATGCCGTGCTGCCAATCGCGACGCTAGAGTACGAGGTCTATTGGTAGCTTGGTCGTTGCATAGGAGACGCATGGTGATCGTATTTTTCCGGGTGCGGTGCCTGTTGGTTACGTAGTGTATTTTTTTTTTTTTTTTTTTATGTGGAAGGTTGGTGCCTACAATGCAGGCTCATCCGACCCTATTGTTACCGGATTTTAACGATATGGAGCATTTCTGATGTTAGGGCTCACGAATGTAGTGCGATTGTATACCCGTAGCATTGTAATTATCTCACGAACCCATTTTGGCACCATGTAGTATTGTTTATTCGGCTGTCTAAAATATGCCAATAAATGAGTGAAACACATGTCTGCTTGATCCTTGGAAGAAGGAAAAACAACAGCATCGCAACTTTACCTGAGCTCCTATCGGTGACTTGGGCTGTTTGCGTGATATCATTGGAGAAAGGTGGAGGTTAAATTCAGTAGAGGGGAGATTAAATAACGCCGAATGTGGCGTGTAACAAAAAGCAAAGCGGTAGAGAAGCCATCCACTTCCTCCCACCACTCGTTTGCTATCTTGAGCCCTACGTAATCACCCGCACCACCATCGAGATGGGGTATTGAATATACATACCCTCGAGACGAGAACGAGCCGCTGCAACGAGAGTAGGCTTTCGCCAATAAAACTTGACGCTCTGAAAGCACGCTTTGTGTGCATCAAGACATCTCCTTTCTTTCCTTTCACGGACGACAGTGTCCGTGTTCGTAAGTTATACATCTTTGCCAACAACTAAATCTACACCAAAACGAAACGATTTAGCGCACGATACGATTTACGATTACACTATAGCGTGACTTATTTTTAGTTATTTATTTATAATTATAAAGTTTCTTATCTCGAGTAGTATAGTGGTGAGTATCCCCGCCTGTCAAGTTCCTTTGGGACATGGAACGCGGGAGACCGGGGTTCAATTCCCCGCTCGAGAGTTTTTTTTTTCTTTTTTTTTTTTGGTCCTTTTGAGACGTAGGATTTTTGTATTGTGTGCAGCTATCGTGGGAAACGCACCGTCTGTAAGCCCGCGTTGTACTGGAAATCTGGTACGAGTTCCAAGACAAGCTCGACGGAGCAAAGAAAATTTGGCGCTGTGCCTAAAAAGGCCAATGATGACAAAGCCAACCCCGACGAGTTTCCTAGGTCGATATGATGTGGAACGAGTCATTGCTATATGTCTTCGAACACCAGCCACGTAACCATGGAATGTATTGATTCTTCTGATCCTTACGATACATACTTGCTCCATTGGTTATAAACTGATTGTACCTAGGCCACCCAACCAGCCCCGGAACGCCCCCCTTTGAATTGCGAGATTTACACTCCAGATCCGTGTTTGCGTGTATAGGGGAATGATTTTGACGTTCATTGTTCAACTTACCTGATGGGATTTTCATGCGAGATGGGACAACGGGACAATGCAAACTCGATCTCGGTCCATGAATCCCCCCTCCCTTCTGGTATATAGTGCAGCGAATCTTTAAACTTCAATAAATTTTGATAAACTTTAAAGAAAACTAATTCTGCAGAATGATTCTCTGATTGATTTACTGCAACTTGACAGAGTCAGAATTTTTATTTAATTTTTTTTTATATCTTCCTATAAGTTTAAACGAAGAACTTTTATTATATTGAGTCAAAATTTGACACCGGTTATATAGGAAATCACTATAATAGTACATACTATCATTAGGTCAAAAAATATTATCATATAATGATTTTAGTGCATGTGCATCCCAGGATTTTGGCAGCAGTCACACTATTTAGTCACGTGGTGTGGTTTACAGATTCGCTGCACTTTACCTCTCTCGCTTCATTCGATAATGACTTCCCCGCTCGAACGGCTCAACTCTGTCCGCAACCACATCCAACCACAGAACCAGCAGCTCTCCCAGCAGCCCTGCCTGGCCCCTATCCTGGGCCACAACCCGACCGGCCCTGCCGACATAGCCGCCGAGCGCGCCGGTGCGTCGTTCAATGTCGAAAAGATGAAGTATTTCTGGGCGGGCGGGAAGGAGGAGTATGAGATTACGGTGAGTTGTTTATACTTTACATGGAGATGTGCTCAATGTTATCAGGCGAAGCATCGTTGAATGGATTGGTCGCTACTTCTTCTCGTCCGACTTTGAACTGCCAATCCACACAGAATACGTACTCAAACTCAATCAATTCTCAACCTCCCCCATCTTCCAAATAGGAAATCGCCTACCAAATTATACAGCGCGATCCCGACCTGACGACGTCCCACTTCTTCGATCAAACTCGCCCTGAGGCGCGCGAATTGTAAGCCTTCCACACGATTGATAGAGAATTACAACGGAAATACTCTTTTTGAGTGCATGCGCCAGCTCACTATACATGATCTCACCCCACCAGCACGATGCGCCAGATCCGCCGCGCGGTCGAGGTCCGCAACAACCTGAAGGATCAGAGGCTCAAAACCGCTTTGTTCCGTTGCCTCGCGTGAGTTCGCGTCCTTACACCCATTTTTTTTTTTTTTGTTTTCTGGAGTTTCATATCGTATCTGACCCTTTCCGATGCAGTACCTACTCCGAGAGCTTCGCGATGCGCATTTACGTGCACGACCTGCTGTTCCGGAACGCACTCAACCTGTTTGGGTCGCCCGAGCAGCTTGCGGAGTGGCAAGAGGACATTGAGAAGTTCCGTGTGCTGGGATGCTTTGCTATGGTATGTTATTCTTGCTTGCTTCACCCCTTTAAGTTGGGTATGTTGACTACGGTGATTCGCCAAACGCGATACTGACACCGATGCCGCACGCGCGTAGACTGAGCTGGGGCACAGCTCCTTCCTCCGTGGTCTGGAGACGACCGCGACTTACGACCGGGAGAACGACGAGTTCATCATCCATTCTCCGACCCTGGAGGCAACCAAGTGGTGAGTTCTGTTTGGCGGTGATAGCTGGTATCAAGATAATTTGGGATCGCAGACCTCGTACTTTTGTTGATCGTTCCAAGAAGCTAACGCGGTTTTCGTCTATTTAATTGTGATGGTGGGTATAAAAAGGTGGATTGGCCTCGCCGGACAAACCGCGACGCACACAGGTACTATGACCCACGTATAATGCATTATTCATGACTTTTGAGCCAGACACTAAAACGTCATCTTTGCTCTTTTCACTTTTCCCCTCCCGCCTTGATACCCAGTCGCTATCTGCCAAACCATCATCGATTCCAAGCCCCACGGTATCAACTGGTTTATCGTTCCCCTCCGCTCGCCCACGACAGGCCGTCTCCTCCCTGGTGTGACGGCTGGCGACATCGGTGCCAAATATGGCCGCGCCGGGCTTGACAACGGGTGGATCCAGTTCACGCATGCGCGCATCCCGCGCACCAACCTGCTCTCCCGCTGGGTCAACGTCGATCGCGATGGCAATTACCATCCGGCCCCGAACCCGGCTGTCATGTATGCAACCTTGATCCCAGAGAGGCTCAGCATCATGGCAGGGACCTGGATGCTCGTAGGCCAGGCCGTTGTCATTGCGGCGAGATATGGCGTTGTGAGAAGGCAGGGAGCTAAGGATCAAAAGATTATGGATTATCAGAGCCATTATGTTAAGTTGATGCCGTGCGTGGCCTTCATGTATATCTGTAACATCACGAACCGGTATGCATGCGACCGTCTCTTTCCTCGCGTATCTTTACGGTTTTGCAAGTACTCCACACATCCCCTACCCAGCATGTTAATCGTGCTACAACTTACCGACTTTCCTCAACTCCACAGTCTCCTCACAACGCAATGGAGCGAGATGTCCGAACTCGCTCAAAATGACATTCACTCATACCTGCGTAAGGCCGGTGACATGCACGCTGTCTCCGCCGGGATCAAGGCCACCATAACGTGGCTGGGCGCCGACACCCTCGAGCGGTGTAGGCGCGCTTGCGGCGGACACGCTTACTCGAGCTACAATGCCATTCCTGGCATTATTGGCGATTGGGGTGTCACGACCACGGGTGCGTATAAGGCTGGGGTGAGATTGTGATTGAATACGCTTGAGGGTAGACTTCTTTGTTCGTGTCAATCTCTTTTTTTTGATTCCATTTCCATCTGGCGTTGCGTACGATAGGCGGCGGCGACAACATCGTCCTTTTGCAGCAGACTGGGGTAAGTCTCGATCGTAAACGCGTGCACGCATATCCCCCCCCTCCCATTATATTCTCCATTCTCCAGTTCACTAGATGCTCCCGCCATTTACAATCACAGCGCTACCTCATCGGCACTTTGCACGACGTCGCGCAGGGTCGTCAGGCCGCCGGCTCGGCCGCCTACCTTAACGATGCCGCCACAGTGCTCGCCCAGCCCACGTGCGTATTCGACAACGAGCGTGACTGGCTGAACATCGAGGCTGTGAATGGCGTACTGACCTGGCTAGTTGTCAAGAGGGTGAGCCTGCAGACCGGCGTTCTGTGGATGACCTCTCATTCATTGCTTTGTCTTAGCTCCACATAAACCTGACCCTCTCTCTCCCCACGCAGCTCCAAGCAACCGCCACAGCTCTTGCCGCCTCCGACGCCTGGAACGACCACCTCCTCTCGGTCACGCGCACGTCCGAGCTCCACTGCCACCGGCACCTGCTGGACCTCTACGTGGCCGGGATCCGCGAGGCCCCCGTGGAATTGCACGCGCCCCTGCTAAACATGGGCCGCTTGTACGCCCTGTACGTCGTCGAGGGGTCGCTCGACGCACTTCTTGAGGAGGAATACATCACCCCCAAACAGGCTCGCGTCGTGCGTGACTTATATATTCGTCTGTGCAAGGAAACCAGAACCGACGCTGTGCCGCTGACGGACGCCTGGGCGTTCCCGGATTTCGTTTTGAAGGCGCCCATTGGGAGGGCGGATGGGGATATTTATTCTGGTATTTTTTTTTTTATTTTTTTTTATTTTTTTTTGAGTGTTTATGTGTGATTGAGAGTTTATATCCTTATACATTTAACCTCCTTTTTGTCACTTTTGAACTAGCTTACATGGAAACCCTCCGCGCCGCACCTGGGTGCTTCGGGCCGCCGCCTTATTTCGAGCAGCAGATTCGGCCTCTAACGGATCCAGCGCTCAACGGGAAGAATGAGGCTTGAAGGTGGCAGCTGAGGATCCGAGGGTTAATTCACGCAATTTGCAGTACAGTGCGCCCAACCTATAAACCTCAATAAATTTTGTAAATTTTTGAAGGAATAGAACATTATGAAGAAAGAAGATATCTAAAAACTAAGTCCATAGAACACGATCTCGCCAACACCGTCTACTCCACTGGCGCGGCAGCCATAAGCGTCGCGAAGGAAGCTGCTACGGCCATGCAGAAGGGACTTCAACAAGCCGTGAGCACGGTGAAGGCCGAACTCGACAAAGTCGCCACCGAGGCGTCAAGGAGGCAATCGGCAATCACCATTGCGGCCAAGAAGGCCACCATCACGGGGGCGAAGGATGCCGAACATACCGCCGAGCAGCTGAACGACCAGCTGCACGATGCGAACAAGGCGTTGAAGGTAACTACAATGCTGGAGTAGAGATGGTTTTTTTTTTTTTTTTTTTAGAAAAACATACTCTGGCTCTATAAATCTATATCCTTTGCATCTTTGAAGAGTTTAACGATTTCAGAATTGAAAAAGCATTGTCATCTTTGATATATATATAGTCTGAAATGTGATAAATGGCGTCGAGAAGCTAGTCAGTTAAAGAACTGGCAGTTTATTATAGATCGTTGTTTATGGGTGGTCTGGAGGTCAACCTCCCGATTATGGATAATCAGGTGAACTAAAAAAAAAAAGATTGTCTCTGAGCTTCAATGCGGTAACCAACCTAAACGTGAGAGAAAAATCTTTCAACATGCTGGATCTAACCGGACTTCAAGGTTGTGGTACCAACTATTTTCGGACGTGGATGACTTACCACCCTGGCATTAAAATAAATAAACAAATCTA